GGGGCACTACCGTAGATAGAGAAGGAAGTATTTGAGCTACTCCAGCTGACACAGAGCTCGTGACGACTCCAACAGGGTTATAGCTCTCTCTGTAAGGATTGGGGTCTAGTGTTAGGGGAGCGTGCGTCTCTTGAGCTGGGTCCCGTGCTTCTAGTTGTCGGCCGTTCGGTTCAGACTGATGGGTATGCTGATCGGGAAGTAGTGCGGCTCGGATAGGATTAACCTGGATAATATTTAGTATAAAGCGCAGTAACATGATTGGATACAGTAATGAAAAGGGTGGGAAAGGGTGGGATGTAGTTATCAAATTTGTAGTTATCAAGTCTCAAGGTCGAGGGCGCAGAAGGCGCCCAGTTAGTAGAGAGTTCGTAGCAGGTCGATTCGAAGATCGTCTGACACAAGAGAGATTGATACAATGCTAAGATCATGGACGATAATATTGATGACACTAAGTTTCCAATATTGGGAGGTCCAAGGAGTAGAAACATGGGAAGCGGAAGTACTCGTGAGAGGTCGGCACAGTACATATTAATAGTATAGCTAGAACGGAATGGACCTTTTTGTCCCAGGTGACGATGATAGAGGCTAAGACATGAACCAATGCCATGCGTTCCTTGCGGGCTCGTATAAAGAGAATGATATGTCTTAAGAAGCGGATAATTTTACCTTGTAAGTGAGACAAGCAGGCGAGGTTCTCGAGGCGATATTGGAATGCTAAGTTGGCCGAGTGACTGAACGAGACCGAAGTCCTAGTACTGTACCGGGAAATAATAGACGGGGACGGATACAAGACAGCGAAGCACCGAATAGGATCATAGGCTGAGGTGGGCGATGAGATGAATGTGAGAATGGTGAAAGGTGGTGTTCAATGTTGGGTTACGCCTAATCCAACCTTGCCAGGCGGGCAAGGACGTCGCCGTCAGAGCCGAGCGCTTTCCTGTTTCTGGGTTTAAGAGCTTCAAGTTGTGGTCTCTGCTTCAATGCCAGCTGAATCCGGCGCGGCGGTAATACTACTTTACTAAGTAAGGTAATTGGACAGTCTTCATCGAATATTGACTTTGAGTTCAGGGTCTTTCGCGGGGAACGAATGACGTTGAAGATATCCATAGGCCCCACTTTGTGAGAGTGACAGGAAGGAACATCGTGAACGTCTTACTGAAGACACCCCATGAAGTCAAAATGATGGCTGCAGGTGAGTATTCGTATACGTATTTGCGAGGACTGTATACCTAGCTAAGATCACATAGTTTCGGAGCATGTGGAGACTATCTCCTGGTAAAGGTTGGGGTTTTGCTTGGATTGAAAGCCACCTGCAAAAGATCTTTTCAGCAATACCTCGTGTATGGTCGGGCCGAAGAAGAGCATGTTCTATATTAGTGTAGCCCGGATGATACGCGTGCACGAGAACCTCAAAGTCCCAAGGCATCGTATTGACCTCCTCCAACAGTCGTCACCGACCTCAATTTCGAAGCCTGATACGGCTTCTTAAGCCCGTGATCCCTAACTGCGCGTCCCGAAAGCGATCGATGCTTGCCAGCTTCCCCAGATCTGGCCGCTTCCTGCTGTTGCTTCCTTCGTCTCTTCTCCTCCTCCTTGCTGTGCAGATCCGTCTTGTTCTCCTTTTCCAGCGTCCGCAAGACTTTCCTATCTACAACCCACGGCTGACTGAGCACATCCCTCCTGAAAGCCCTGATCTTTCCCCAGAACTGGACCTCCTGAGTCGTGGATCTAATGCGTTGCATCTTCCCGATCTTGATCTGCTTCTCATATCGAAAAAGCTTCAGACTGCCTTTGACCTCAATGACCATGCCGACATCAATTTCTGGATGCGGACCCGGAGGCTGAATCTCGGTAGGTTCTTTCTGAGCATCGCCAGACCCCTTGCGTTCATCTGAGTCTGCTGGTGTTGGAATGTCCAAGGAACACTCGATGCACATGCCGGTGCTGTCATCGACCGTATATACTTGCCGGCCATAGTACGAGTCTATTGCCACGACCACGCCGACAATGCGCACCCATCGGATAGGATGATTCAAACGGAAGAAAGTATCATCTTGGCCTTGAAACACTGATTAGCTGAAAACGTGACGGATGACTCGCGGGTAATAACCTTGAAATCCGGGGTGCCACCTTAGCTCCTTGATATCGCTGGCCCGCAATGGGCACCACTTGGTAATTGTAGGGGACAAGTGATAGCAATACCGTGGGTATTCTTCATAAGTAGGCGATGCAGCACTTGTCATGGCATGGTGGGGCTTTCAGATCACTGTATGCAAAGTGAGTAAAGAAAGAGCCACGAAGGTGTCTCATTGAAAGAATTCGGTTGTAGTACAAGCCGGAGTCATTTGATCCAGGCGCGTCTCGCAGAGCGGCTTAAAAGTGACATGCGCGTCATTTGTTGGCCAGGTGACAGGGGTATGAGAACTGCCTACAACACTTGCAGTGCCTGCCCACGGCACTTGATTTACGTAGTATGTATCACTGAAAGAAGACTCCACAAACTGGCAGGCAGAAGATACCTAGAGGTATTCAAGTTATTGTTACCTACCTACCTAAGCATGAATTTAGGACCTGTACCATCAAAGTCGATTTTGCTGTCCGAGAACACTTCAGGGTATTTCGAAAACCCGACCGATGCCAAAATCACCGCAAAATCCTGCCATGCATTCATTGCCTTGGCCATGAGCCAGCCGAAACTCCCGAACGCCTAACTGTGACCTGAAGTAAAGACTCACTTCTTCGTTCTCTTGGGTCGACTGCTTTTGGAAGAAGTCTCTGCTGGGGCACCTTTCCTCTTCAGTCTCGCAGCTGCGGCTTGAAAGTCATCCTCCGAAGGCTCATGGGTCTGCGTCTTCTTGCCTTTCGGGGCACCGCTATACTTGGCCTCGAGATTCCCAAGAAAGCTGCTTCGGTCCTTCTGGTTGCGCTGAATGAGCGCCGCCAGGTCATCTCCAGATGAATCCTTCTTACCTTTCTTCTGCTTCTTGCCGCCGAATAGCTTGTCGTGGACACCGAGTTCCTTGGCATACTCTTCAGCTTCAGTGGACTCGGCCTTGGCAGCCTTGATGCGTGTGTCCTTCGATTTTTGAGTCTCCTTAGTGTATGCCTTGTACGCCTGGACGTCCCCACTCGCAACGGCTTCGTCGATGATCTTGCGGAAGCGCTCATCATCCTCCAAGACGTTGCTAAGCATAACAGACTGGTAGACTTTGTTCATGTCGCCCTTGTACTTCTGGTAGGCGGCAATCAAATCATCCTTCTCCTCATCCGAGTGCTTGTACTTGGCCGCAAACTTGTTGATCGCGTCATCGGAGACGGCGTCGCGGAACTGCTCTCGATAGAAGTCGGCCCAGGCGAAGCCCTCAGATTCGGCAATTGTCTCGCTGGCATCGCCCGTGGCATCGTATCGCGCTCGTCGGGCAGGATCGGAAAGAACGGCATAGGCGAAAGCAAGCTCTTGGAACTTTTGGGTAGCCTGCTCCTTCTCTGATTCGGGAAATTTGTCTACAACAATAATGAGTGTATTAGTGATATGTCATTGTAACAGCTATTATCGTTAACTTACCAGGATGTGTCTTCAGGGCGAGCTTGCGATACGCGGACTTGATCTTATCTGCCATCGCATCACGAGCGACCTCGAGAACCTCATAAGGTTGAACCTGAGGAGGGCCATCTTGGGCGAGATCGCCTGAATCCGAGCCAGAGTCCGAGTCCGACATGTTGGAGATCTCAGTAGTGTCGAAGTGGTAGTTGGAAGGCAAGATTGTTGCCCAAGTCCGAGACTTGGGGCGATGCTCTTTTGTCACTTGAAATGCGCGTCGACCGCGTCGGGAAATAATGCAGATGGCTTATCGCTGATAATGATTTATGCAATCGCGGGGTATCGGGCCCTGCGTAAGTACGAAGTAGGTACTGTACTTAGGTACCTGAACGTTGGAAGTGGGGTTATATCCGAGTGTGCAAGTCAACAAGAACGAATGTCTGCTCAGAGCTCAAGCCCATAACTCAGTTGGATCAAAGGCACTTAAACCCAGAATGACAAGTCCCTCACCTTCACAATCTAATATAAGAGCCGGTGACCATGAGGCGTATCTGAAGTATGCATTAGCTCTTGCTACCGAATCACCGCCTAAGCCCACGAATTATCGAGTCGGAGCTGTGCTCCTTGACGTGGCTAGCAATGAGATATTATCAACTGGCTACACCTTGGAACTTCCCGGCAACACGCATGCAGAGCAATGCTGTTTTGAGAAACTGGCTTCAAGGCACTCGAAAAATGCAACAAACCTTTCCGAGGTTCTTCCAGATAACGTTGCCCTCTACACAACCATGGAGCCATGCTCGGTGCGACTAAGTGGAAATCTGCCTTGTGCGGACAGGATATTGGGCATTGGGAAGAAGATCAAGACGGTCTACGTAGGAGTCCAGGAGCCGGAGAAGTTTGTCAGCCATAACTCGGGTAAATCGAGGCTTGAACAAGCTGGCATCCGATTCGTGCACATAGGAGGATTAGAAAAGGAGATTTTGGAGGTTGCGACAACAGGACACATGGGAGACGATACTGAAGGGTCATGATTTTCAACCATATAGGCCTAACGTAGCACCTTACGTATGTACCTACAAGTCGAAGCGACAGGAACTGTCAAAACCAAGACACACAAAACCGCTCCTCCCCGGTTGTACTTGAATTTGAATTGTCAATGGCCTTGCTTGGATTCACGGGCGAATGGGTGCTTGGACTGTCCGGAGACGACAGGCTATGACATTTCTCTCCCAGGCGGAATTCGACAAAAAACAGCAAAAGTATCAGTTACTTCGCCGCGTTCCTGAACGAGACGTGGGAAGTGCGAACTACATTCCCAAAATTCGGAGCCGTATTCTTGCGTACAAATTGCCCCGCCAAACCAAACACCTTACAAATAACCAACTTCTCAACCTAAAATATCAGGAAAACGTCAAAAGAGTAGAGTATTCCAGTAACTGGAATGCATCGGGAATTGAGCCCGATGCGGGGGTCGAACCCGCAACCTTGAGATTACTTTTTTAAGAGTCTCACGCTCTACCGATTGAGCTAACCGGGCAGAAACTTCTTGTATGTTCTTGGAAAGTACACGGCTTACGGCATCCCATAGTGCAAAATCCGGAGACCGAGCAGCGCAGCGAGTGCGATGACCGGAAATATTTAAAGTGGATACACGCTAACTTGAAGGTGTATATACACACGCTAGTAAGAGGGAGACCTGGCCCGATCAGCCCTGATTGGTGGTCCTGCGGTTGGACCCGAGCTACTGTGTAGTCCGCCAGTCCCGGGAACCCCACAATGGGGCCAGGTACAGTGCGGCAGGGCTAGCTGCGCACTCGACAATACCTAACTATAAGTAGGTACCTACCTAGGCGAAAGCTCAACGTCAAAGCCGCCTCTTGACATTCACCTCTCAAAAACAGAGACAGCAGTTCATTAGAAGCCAGCAAAGTCCTTCTATGACAATTTATTCCAACCACTCTGTACTATTCTGTGACATCAAAGTAAATTCGAAGTTGGGAGTTGGGAGCATTAATTAGGACCTCTGTAGGGGTAAGTCAGTTTTGGTGTAGGTAGGTTCTTTGAAGAGGTAGGTACCTAGGTAAATAGTATAGCAGATACTCAATTCGACGAAACTGTCAGTCAGTGTGATCCAACTCACTACTCACTACATGACACAGCCACGTACAGCTATCGGCAGACCAAGGAATGCAAGAAAGACCAAGGAATGCAAGAAAGACCACATCTGATAACCTGTCAGTCCAGTCAGCGACGCTCTCTCTATCAAACATTGGGTCAGTGCTTTTTATGAACCGTTTGCTGGCGATTATGCCTAATGTCGAAGTGGAGGGCCACCTTCTTAGTATCTAGGTACTTAAGTACGTTAGGTACTTGCGGCATCGTCACCGGTACCTTTCGGCTGCACCTTGCCTCCCACGACTAAAGCTCCTGTAGGGAAAAGTAAGAACGGCGGTGAGCTATCACCAGGAAGAAGTAAAACAAGCAGTCACCATGCTTTCTTTTTCCGATGATGCAATATTGAGGCTATCTCTCAGTGTAGAGACTTTCCTTGCCACGGTACCAAGTGGTTTCGTCAATCAGCCCCGCTGCTTCGAGAATCCGGTCAGAGTAAAATCAAGCCGCAGTACTGCTTGATCAAATCATTTCTCAACCACGATCTGTAAAAACGTCTAAGCCACTCAAGGTTCGGCACTCTTAATGGAATCCCAGCCGGATTCCACTATACTGAATACACACCGCTGCGGGTACGCAGCTGACAGCGCGTTGATCCCGCGTTTTTGTGGAGAAACCCAGAAGTTCGTGAATTGCTACGAGACGGTGAAGGCTGGGTAGGCCTCGCCAGTAAAAGTGCCTCGACCGGGGGCTACTCTTTTGTCGCGAGCTCAAAGTCTGCGAGGCTAGGCCGCTCTCGAAATGCCGTCTTCCCAGTTTCACAGTTCTTTTTGTCACGAACAGCGCAAAGGCTGTGGTCGATATTCTGCATTCCCATCATCCCTGTCGTGACTAGTTTGGACTACTACACAGTAAGTAGGCAGTCAGCGAAGTCTCACTGAAGCATCTTCCAAAGTTCACAACTCTGTTGACCACATCGGTACAGTCTTAGAGACTTCTATCTCGACTCAGTTGCGGTTAAATCAGCATTGCCGACCTAATCAGCAGTAGTACCAAGCCTGCTGACTTCACGTCCTGACGGGTCCCTGCATTACAAGTGTCTGTTAGCCGAGCTACGGGCAGTCACTGTTAACACTAGATCCAGCTCCACAAAGCTTAGACTGACATCAGTACCCATCCAACGCTCCTGGGCCGACGACACTAGGAAGGACGACACTGGCAGCAACGGCCAGGTCGATCACCGATAAGAATCACGCAGTTGCCTACAGGCTAGAAGCACCAGGGTAATCGAAAACAGACTTGTTGAGTGCCGATTGATCGAGCTTGGCATCTTCGGTGTGTGTTGGAGCACATCGTTTATTTCAGAGCGAGTCTGGACCAGACCGGCAGGATAAGTACCTATCATAAGGGTCTGGGAGTGTTTGTTCGTTTATGAGAAATCACCAGCACAAGGATTTCAGAAGGCAGGCTGAGCCATTTGCCTTTCAAGGTGAGTGAAAGCCTCCACTCGGCGCTTAAGAGTCCTGCATGCCCTTCGAGAGAAGTATTGGATCAAGTGGTCATTGTTTGGTCTACGGACAGTCGTCTCACTCAAGCGAGACCCGTTTGCCAGAACGCTCACCACAGCGATGAGTTGAGACCACCCATATTCAAGGCGCAACCTTCCAAATCTACATCATCTACCTACAAACGCTGTCTTGCGTTATTGTTGTCCTGGAAGGAGGTGCAATCCGCATGAGTGGCTCCGGGCGTCGTTTGCAAGCATTGGGTCTTTCTCTACTTTGTCTCGGTAGTCCGAGCCGCAGTTTTTCATTGATAGGCTGATACTTTACCTCCATCCTATCATCGATGGCCGTCATTTGTTTGCCATCAACCCTCACTTTACCCAGTCATATCACTTGCATCATCTGTACTATTCTGAACCCGAATCAGACTTCCTTTAGACTAGCAAGCCGGATCGTCGGGCAGCGTGCAGAAACTTGAGGAAGCTTGCATTGTATCTCATCACTGGCTTGCAATCTTGACCCCTCTGACTCATCCAACCAACACCCATCACACAAACGGTCTGCTTGCATTTTTATGAATTCTCAACTGACTTGGCAGATCTATCCAGCTAACCGGGATATATTGTCGCGTCTACCGCCTTTCTCATCCACGATCTGGATAAGTCTATGTCGACAATCTTTGACGGCATTACATACAGCATCTGATAGCTCTTCACCACCACCAACTAAGCATGTCTGATAATCGCGGACGCGGACAGTCCCGCGGCGGTCGTGGCGATCGAGGCGATCGAGGAGGCCGTGGCGGTCGTGGACGTGGTGACTTTCAAGGCGGTCGTGGTGGTGGTTCGTTCTCAGGGTTCGACTCGAGCGGAAATGTCCAGCGCGGCGGCGGTGGCGGAGGATACCGAGGAGGAGATCGTGGTGGTGGTGGTGGTGGTGGTGGTGGTTTCCGAGGAGGAGATCGCGGTAGGGGTGGTTTGCGAGGAGGAGACCGCGGCGGCAGTGGATTTCGAGGAGGAGATCGCGGCGGACGTGGAGGTGGATCCAGGGGCGGGCGTGGTGACAAGGTCAGCAAACCCCCGCATCCTCCTCCATGAGAGCAGAGTTATCAATGATACATGTGAAGTCCCGGGTAACTTGGTGAGAACAAGTTCGCTAACACGAGGCCTGCACAGTTTGCTGGAGAATCCGAAGCTTTCAAGTGTGTTTATTCCTCCACCGAGGTATGATCGTAGGCTAACCACTCATAGCTCCAATGATGCACCTCCTCCTGATCCGAAGGTCGCGGAGCTCGAGAACAAGATCCTGAAAGAATTATCTCTCACCACGAAGTCGTCGGAGCTTCAAGTCTCTGGTGCTACGGTTTCTACTAAGAATCTTCCTCTTAGACCATCCTTTGGCACTAAGGGTAAGGAGGTCAAGCTTTGGGTCAACCACTTTGGCCTATCTGTCAAGCCACAGACTTGGTCCAAGTATGCTATCAAGGTCGCTAAAGTCGTCGGAGAGAATGTCGACCCCAAGAAGGTGCCTGAGGCCAAAGGAAGGAAGCTACAAAGGATAATCGAGCTAGCCTTACATGAGCTTGGCCCCGCCATCCCTATCGCTTCAGAATACAAGAGTCAAGTTATCTCTCTGAGGCCGCTTACCCTTCCAGAGGATCCGACCATCCAGGTTCTTTACACGGACGAGGGCCGCGACAGCACATACAAAGTTACATTCCTTGGCCCAGTAGACATCAGAACAGATGACCTACTAGCTTACCTTGGTACTATGCAACATCCTGGGGCATCTTTCCCCGTTTTTGGGGACGTCGTCAGCGCCATCGGTGTCGTTCTAGGTCAGAACCCTCGAGCAAACAACGCCATTGCCTCACTCGGTAGCAGTAGGCACTTCCCCTTGAACCTCTCTAATGAGGTGTATTCGCTGGGCTCACCAGACCACAACTCCATCATTCGTGGATACTTCCAAAGCGTGCGTCCAGCGACTGGCCGCTTGCTCCTTAACGCAAATGTATCCCACGGTGTGTTCCGGTTTTCTGGACCTGTCACCAACCTCCTGAGCCGCTACAACCTTAACGACGACAGCTCCCTGAAGCAGCTTCATAGGACTTTGGGCAAACTTCGTGCGAGAGTCACGATTCTCGTTGACAAGAATCAACCAGAACCTCAGAAAGGAGGGAAAGGCAAGAAAGGCAGGGCATCTAGCCCGCAGAAAGCCGCCGGCGTTGCGCGTGTGAAGGAAACCCTCATTTGCGGCTTGGCGGCCTCGAGTGATGGGAGTAAGAGTGAAAAGCCCAAGTTCCAACGTCCTGGAGGAGCTCGACCACATGAAGTGTCGTTCATGATCAAGGAACCCGCCCCACCCGGGTTCCAGGCTGGAAAGTTCTACACCGTGGAGGAATATTTTCTGAAGAGTAAGTCACAGGCCCTGTTGCCAGACTACCTCGCATGGCTGATCATGGTCTCTGCAGGATATGGTCACCGAGTTGACCGCAACCTACCTGTGGTCAATACCGGTACCAGAATCAAGCCAGTGTACACCCCGGCTGAGTTCGTGGAAATCGTTTCCGGTCAGGCGTTGCACCGTAAGACCACACCTGATGAGACCAGATCGATGATCGAGTTTTCATGTCGATCGCCGGTGGCCAATGCAACATCCCTGACAACCACGGCGCGAACTTGCCTTGCTCTTGACAACAACCCTATCCTAGTATGCCCACTCAGCTTCCTGACATTCAAACACTAACTTGCCTTGCAGGACCAGTTTGGCATTCAAGTTCATAGGGACCTGCTCACAGTCAGGGGTCGAGAGCTAACCGCCCCAAAAGTCATTTATACCAGCTCGAGAAATGCTAGGCAGACCACCAGCCCCCGCGTTTCTGAGGGTTCGTGGAATATGGTGGACGTCAAGCTAGTGCAAC